GGCGACGCCAGAAACGGCCCCTTTTGTGTCCGGGGCCGCATGCGTGCCAGGCTGGGCCGAGAAGCTTTTCCTGTTCCTCAGCACTAGCAAAGCTGAAGCGTGGGCAAGCCTGGGGTGCTGCGGTGCTTCTCCAGCGAAAAGCAGCGTGCTGAACGGTGCTGGGGAGAGGACGGAGGTCTTAACATTGCCCCGGCTGGTTGCTGTTTAAACCGTATTTAAAATACTTGGCCCAGTCTGCAGGGCTTGTGAACTGGTAATGGCTAGAGAGCTTAACTTGGGCAGCATTTAAGTGTGGGTGCAGCAGGCTCAGCCTTTGGATCGCTGCTGCCCTGGGGAGGTAAAATGGGTCGTTGCCAGTAGAAACAATCCCTGGGAAATGAAAACCTGAAGCCCGTCAAAAAAAGATATTTAAACCTGGTAATAAAACTAACAAAACAGCGAGCTGTTGTGTCTAGAACAGTTGTTTGAAAGGTCCTCTTTCGTGTGGATATGATTCTTGGTCCCTTCCTTAACAGCTGCAGTGTATTTAATTTAGTGTTTGCCTCAAACTAAAAGTAATTAATAAATCAAAGCAGATTTCTAGGTACCATTTGTACTTTTTTCCAGCGTTATCTATGATAAATGGAAAAGGATATGATTTTTGTGTATGTTTTCACTTGGCTGTTTGCATAAAAGAAGTTTTTCTAAATACTCAACAAAATTCATCTCTACCGATGATCAGAAATGTATCAGAACAGAAACTATTTCCATTTCTAACTTAGGAATTATTTCAATGCTGATGATAATTCTGCTGACTTGTATTCAAGCCTGTTAAACATCTTAATGTTCGAACCTCTTAAACTTCAATTGAAGGATGTTCTTAAGAGCTAGTATGCTACACTAGGTGTCTTTCATTAACGATGTTGCCATTGTCCTTTTGCAGCGCCGAGGTTCAGGAAGGAAAAACTTCATAGCATTCCGAAATACGAAACTGATTCCCATGGAAACATCCTCATCCTCTGATGACAGTTGTGACAGTTTTGGTTCTGATAATTTTGCAAACACGGTAAGTACAGTACAAGAGCAAATAAAACTGAATGGGGAGTGCTTGTGAAGTTTGCAAAAATGTAAAGCTTGATAAAGCTAGTAAATGTTTTGTGCACGATTAAAACTGCTTGCTCCGCTTATGTTTTTACATAGTAGTTATAAATCTATGCTATATGCTGTGATTTCATTTCATTCTTCACTTGTGCTTCTACGTGGCAATTGTTGGAAACAGATTAGCTATTTATTCTAGCCTTTGAAATGTCACCTAACCTAACATGCCTGATAATTTGCAACTGCAGTTCTGAAACCACTTGTTAAATGCCTTAACTATTTTTTTTCTTTATTAAAAAAGCTATTTGCTTACGTTGCACTTGTAAATTTCAATCATTTTCTGTACAACTTCAGTTAAAGGATATTTTATTCTTCACAGAAATGCAAGTTTAGGTCGGATATTAGAGAAGAGCTGGCAAAAATTTTTCACGAAGCCTCTGATGATGAATCTTTCTGCGGCTTTTCTGAAAATGAGATTCAAGATGCATTGGTAAGACAATTGATTTTGTTTGCCATTTTGAATTTAAATTCTTACACATTCTTAATTGAAAAATAATTCGGCTTTCAGCTTCAGCTTGAAAGTCAAATCTTGTCAGAAAGACGCATACATACTTTTATTTATTTTAATGTACAGTCTAAGTAGCCATAGTTTCATTTTCTTTTTGTCTCTGTAAAAAGCCCCCAAGATCCTGAGCTTTACAAATTCAGAATAAAATCTGTCATATGGATTTTGAAATATAATACCTCTTAAAACTGTCCTTGCTGGGTGTTACTCTGTTAGATTCTAACATTTTTGGTTTCCTCGATATGAAATGTTATGTTAGTTCATGGACTCCAGCAAACCTGAGAAATTTCTGTGTATATTGACGTCCAGTCGAACCTGCTCTCTGACAGTGTAACAGGAAATGCTGTACTTCAGCAGTAGAGAAATAGTGATAGGTGGTGAAATCCGCCTTCTTGCTTTTCCTTGATGTCAGTGCAAGAGTAGCTTGATTGCTTAAAAAGACCGGCTGTTGGTGTTTAGTAGAGAAGACAGAAGTAGTACCATGTTTGTCGTAACTTCAGAACATGCCGAGGAATGACTAGAAAAGAATAATGTATGGAAGAGAACGTGTCTGAGTTAAATAATACACAACAGTAAAGAGAATAAGTAGGAGGCAAAGCTGGAATAGATAGTAAGAAAAAGGAATTGATAACTGCACATAATTGGCAACCAGAACCACATACCTGGTTTAATAAAAACCCTGTGCAAATAGGGATTGCTATTTGAGACTGATGGTCTATTCATATGAAGCAGGAAGCCTGTTGTTACCTATGACCAAAATAAGACTATCGTATTATTGAGTCTAAACCTAAAAGTCAAAGCCTATTGTAAAATGAGCTTTTAACTAAACAAATTAATTTCTGTCCTCACTGAACCCTTGGTTCTTGCAAAGGTTGTAAGCAAGGCATCAGAATTCAAAGAAAATAAAATATTGGGATTTTATTCATAATTATTTCATTGGCTGGCTCTAGAAGGAAGTTTTCACTTGATATCGTTGATACTGTGACATGACTATTCTTGACAACTTACAAACTTGGGTTTGACACTGTGCTGAGAACTTTGTTGTGGCTTTTTTTACAGCCAAGTACACTATGTTGCAAAATCAAGGCCTTTAAAGGCAATTCTTTCTCACACAAACTATCTTTGCTATTAGACCTGCAAGTGACAGCTAAGACTGCTATAACTGAAACTAAACTCCTTTTTTTCTGATATGTTGCAATATGGTGTGGCTCTCCCTGAGTCTTTTTTATCCCCCCCCCCCCCCCCCCTTTAAAGTATACTAGAACACTAGGACATCTAAAACATCTAAATTTCAGCCAGATAGCCTCTTTAAGCACCACCCAAAAATTGTCAAACTATATTTAATTGTAGAGCCAACTCACTTGCATTTATACGCTTCCGTTCTGGTTTGTTAACAGAAATTAGAATCGGATTCAGAGGAGAATGATACAAGTGCTGAGAGTGAGGTAGCTCAGAGACGGCAGAAATGCCCTGTTCCTCTAAAAGTAGCCATGAAGTTTCCACCTCGAAGATCGGAGAGGAGGAAGGGTGAAATGGAACCTCTTCCTGAAAAGCTGGTGCCTGCTCCAGATTCGGACTCTGACTCTGAAGAAAAGGGTGCCATATTTTTAGAGAAAAGAGCTTTAAACATAAAGGAAAACAAAGCAATGGCAAGTACTCAATGTCCCCCTGGGGGCCTTCCCTTCTTCCTCCCCCCCCCCCCCCCCCCCCTAGGCGACCTCTTTGGTCATTCAGGTTAACTCTAATGGGAATTATGTGAATGCATTAAGAGGAATTTACATTCCTAATATTTAAATCTGATACTTTATGTCCACTGGCATGTGAAAATCCATAGGCTGCAAGCCTAAAGAATAGGGCTTCAACATAATAAGTTTAAGCATTTTTAAATTACTTGCAGCTACTGGAACATAAATAAGACATAAAAGTAAAAACTTGAAGAGTGACTGCATTTCCTTTAAGTAATTGTACTTCTAGCCAATTGCCCTAATCTAATAGTCTGTAACAGCACATAAACACCCCATTTAAGGCTCTGTTTCCTTTTTGCTTTCCCTTGTTAGCTTGCAAAACTAATGGCTGAGTTGCAAAATGTTTCTGGTATCTTTGGTGAGAGAAAATCATTGCCAACTGTCAATCATGTAAGTATAAACTTACTATATTGCCTTCAGATTTCTGAGAGTCAGATTCTGACATTACAAAACAGGACTTTCAATTAAAAAACTTTATAAACCATGTAAATCAAAGTCCAGTTCAGAATTTTATTGCTTCCTAAAACAGGTATCCTCATTGTGCAATTATCTTTTGATTTGCCACTATGTAAAGCAGAACAGATTAATTCATAAAGGTTGGGTGTCTCCACAGGCCAATAAAACTAAACAAGGTGCTGTGTAAATATGTATTTATACAAAGGCTGGAGATAAGGGGGAGGCAGCTTAGGCTTTGAAGCTCAAGCCTGAATATTCTGTGAGTTTGGAGCTTTTAAAAACACCTGGCATTTGGCCTAACTAGGTCCTTAAAGAAGGTTGGGTTGTGAGTTGGCAATGTAATGAATTTCACTGTTGATTTACCTGTAAGCTGTGTGAGGATGGGAACAACACTAAAAGTCACAACTCCTCATAGACAAAGAGTTCTGCTGCTGCGTGGGGAATTAATGTATCTTAGATCTGCATGGACACAAATGTGCTTTTGACTATTTCTCTGCAGCTAGCAAAATGCCCAAGATGAATTTGCCTAGGATGTTTTTACCTTGTGTTTTCTGATTTGGGATGCGGGGAGACTTCATCTTTGGGAAAGACAGAAGGAAGGCATGTCTTTTTGGGGGAGAAATTCATAGGAGGGATAGGAGCTGTTTGGGTCTTCACCTGTTTAATTAGGAGCCTTTAAACTTTACCAGGGACCAAAGCGACTTCCAAGACGTTCATTGCCCAGAAGTGCTTTGAGGAGGAACCCAGACAGAAGTTCTCGGCCTCACACAAGATCCAGGTCCCTGATTGAAGGTCCTCCTACTCCTTTACCAGAAGAGGATGATGATGACCGGTATATATTAGTGAGAAGACGACGGATGTCTGATGAATACCTGGAGGTATGTTGAGGTTCTAGGTCTCCTGTTGATCATGAAGGTGGTTTTGTATCCCTTCAAGAAAATAGCAATTCATACAGAGCAATTCATATGGAGTTCATCAAGATGATGAGTATGCCATGGCCTGGGAAGAAGTACAGAAAATAACATCTTGTATGTGTTCTCCATTTTCCCCCATCTTATCCTTGAAAAATCACTTCCTCTTGTACTCCAGCAGCAATTACATAAGATCCAGTAGCATTTTTGCACCCTGAAGGTGACAGATCAAGTGAAGGTGCTAAAGCTGCGTGTGTATCATTTGTCTTTGCAAAGATCTGTTATCTCTTATTTAAATATATAATGGGTATTCGAGATTTTGGCACTGCTTTGAAGATCCCCACCTTGTTTATGTAGAGCTTTTGCTGAAACTAATACTAAAAGTATCATGTCTTTACTATTCAGCATGAAGCCCGAACTCCCAGGAGGGGTCACCGTGGTGCCATGGCTTTTCCACACATTGTGCGCCCAGTTGAGGAGATAACAGCGGAAGAGCTGAATAATATTTGTAGTTCTGCAAGAGACAAAGTATATAACAGGGCCATGGTAAGTATATTCCAACTTTGTGAAACGCATACTTTGTGAAGTCACTTACTTGTTGTTTCCTGCTTGAGGTTTAGCATCAAATAGAGCAGACTCTTCCTTGCTGAGAGGAAGGATATGATTTTTGGGAGAAGTATGCCTGAGATCTTGAAACATCATCTCTTATCTTTCCCTGAGTTTATAGAATGGCCTTTACCAAGCCAGTTAGCTTGGTTTTGCCCTGGAACAACTGTAGTACCTAGGTGATACCAGCTGAGGAAAGTAATTAACAGATATTGAAGATTCAATGTTAAAACGGTCTTGGTTCAAACTTGCAAGGTGACTTTCTGTTTTAGGTTAAGCATTGCTAGCTGCCAAAGAGATTGCTTTGTAAATGTTCTATTCTCCTAACTAAAGAGACATCTTTAATGTCTGGTTTCCTGAACTACTTTCTAGGGATCCACCTGTCATCAGTGTCGCCAGAAAACCATAGACACCAAGACAAATTGTCGTAACCCTGATTGCATAGGAGTACGGGGCCAATTTTGTGGGCCATGTCTCCGCAATAGGTATGGGGAGGATGTCAGAACGGCATTGCTGGATCCGGTAAGACAATTTTGAATATTGGCTTTATTGTGTTTAACTTGACCAGAGGTGCGTTGGTTACTCATAGCGAAAGAGTTTTAATAGGGGGACTGCTTACAGTGCTGTAGTACATAATGCAGTCCCGGTTTGATTCAAATGGGATCACAGTACCTTGTGTTGTGTAGAACTCATTGTAGTTACTACTTCTGTAGCTTTATTTGGAGGAGTAAACTAGGAGAGCAGAGCAGCTGCCAAAATATTCTTGTATTTGAGCATCAGAATAGTGTTCTCTTTTGCCTTGTATTAGTGCTTAATGCCCTGTGGAAAGGAACTGTATTGTGGACAAAGTGCTGCTGTTGTGGTCTGTGGAAGCGGTGCAGGAGTTGAGCACAGTGGAATACTTCCTGTGGTTATGTGCAAGGCAGGCAAAGGAGAGTTTTTAATCCCTTACAGGCTGAAGAATTTGTACTCTTGCACTGGTTTAGACAACTTCTGCAGTGCCGATGTTCACTGTAGAACTCTGTGTGGAGCAGGGCCCTCTTCTTAGGTTGCAGGTGTGAATTGTGTCTGGCATTCCAATTCAGTTAAAAAGGCTTATTGTCTGTCTTTTTTTAGACCTGGAGGTGCCCACCATGTCGTGGAATCTGCAACTGTAGCTTCTGCAGACAGCGAGATGGACGATGTGCTACAGGTGTCCTGGTCTATCTGGCCAAGTACCATGGCTATGACAATGTCCATGCCTACTTGAAAAGGTAAGCATGCCATTGTGTCAGAGGTATGGCTCTGCTCTAAGTGGGATAAGCAGCTCAAAACTGGGAGAGGAGATCTCTGCACCTCCCAGTTTGTCAGGTAAATCTCAAGATCAGTCCATGTTGCCTTTAGAATCTGAGATTTTGCCATATGATTTTTCTGACACGTTGGTTCTTAACCAAAACAAGTGGTATATCCACTCTGTATTTTGGCTTTCAACTTCAGCTGTGTTTATTGTCAGGGCTTCCCCTAGTTTGTCTAAAGAGTTTCCAAACAGTGTTTTGCTACAAGCTAACTCATGTTTCTACTTGTCTTTCAGTCTGAAACAAGAACTTGGAATGGAAGACTGAAGCTGTGACTGCCTTTAAATTACGTACTCTTTCACCAATGTCATATTATTGCCTACAGTGAATTGTTTAATCAAATAAGATTACAAAGCCAGTGCCTGCCTTCCCTCCCCTTTTGGGTAAAAAAGGATAAAGAACTTTCACTTATCTCAGTGCAAATCATACTTGAGAAAACTGTTTAATGAAGGTCTTTGCCCACAGGCCATTGTTTTCTTTTTAAACAACTTTGCAAATCACATAGCATCAGTCCTTGCTTTCCTGCCAATAACTTTTTTTCTTCCTGAAAGGAGATGGGGCTTTAAGCCATTGGAGTTTCATTCATGCAGTGATCTGTGCTGCAGGTTTATTTATGCTTTGAAGCTGATCACAAAAAGATACAGATGTTCTGAAAATTCAGGGCACTGTTAAGCGAGTAAAGGTATGTGCTTAACTCCAGGCCAACTTCTGCTGCAATACAGACTTTTACTGAACGTAAATGATCAAATAGAAGGTAAGAATTCTCTAAAACAACAATGCATTCTTCAGTTCAAAAAGGAAGCTCTAAAAGCTGTAGCTGAGCAGTCTCCAAGCACTAATATTTGGTTTTATAGAGTACTCAAAGTGCGCATTGGCCATTTTAAGAGAGATTCTCCAAGCAACTTAAAAAATGCAGCAGAAGCAGTTGGGGGTGGCACATTGTATTTTTGCTCAGATGAGGAGGCCACTGCTGAAAGCTACCGCAGCACTAGCATTGCCTAGTGATGACAGTGATGTGAGTGTACTGGTATACATTGTGGAGTGTCCACTGTCTAAAACAGAATGTACCCTTTGTTAAATTATGTTTTTGTGGGTTCTCCCTGCTTTTGCTGCAACTGCAGAGTTGCTTCTTTGCAGAATTGGCGCTGGTCCTGAGGAAGAGGGATACCTCCAGACTAGGGCTTGGTTAAGTAAAGGGGTAGTGGTTCACGTGGCTGTTGGTCAACTACAAGTGGATGAAAGATGGTAACTTGTTGAATTTGGTTATCAGGAAAGGGAGCAATGACAAATAATCACTGGAATCAGAAGCCTGAGATATTTTACCTCTGAAAAAAGTTGAAAAGCAAGGACTTCCAGCTTGAAGTGAGTTATTCCAGTCGCATAGAGCAGCATAAACATAAATAGATAATGTTCTCAAGAGACACCCTGGTTGTAGTAACACGTGAGGAAGAACGACTGCCTCATCAAAAAGGCTTTTAAAAATAAATAAAAAGGGAGATGTAATGGGTTGCATATGGTTTGTGAGCACTTAGAAATGTGGTTAGTGCTGTGGTCTCCTTCTTAACAGTCCAACCATATTTCTGTATCTGGCTCCGCATGATTGTAAAAGGATATTTCGCATGATATTTTTAATGAAGCATGAGTACAGCAAAAATGGAGCCGAAGAATTCTAATGTGCTGTGGGGATGGGATCTTGTGTACTCAGTGCTGTAGAAAAGAAGGTGCCATGAAAATTGCATCCAGAGAACCACAAAGTGTATAAATGTGCTTAGTTTGGTTATGGAAACTACTGTATAAGCTTTGTATAAGATTTAGAATGCAATGTTATAAATAATGTACAGTTGAATAGCAGAAGAATCGACTTACTTTTATTGAGCACTAGAACAAAACATGGGTTTAGACTTCTCTGCTTGCACAGTATTTGCACTGCGTGTATACATTATGATCCACAGTTTATACCTTTCTGGGAATTGCATCAGTGTGTGTGGGAGGGGAGAAGAGAGGAATTTAGAAACAAAAGATATTTATGTCTCAGACTTGCAGTTCTGTTTCATAAATAATCTGTCCTATTGAAAATCTCCTGTCCTCTCTTTGTTTTTATAGTGTGAATAGCTGTGCAATCTGAGGTGGAGAGTGCTCTACCCTCTAGGTACATTTTGTGAAGAAGGAACTCTAGAAGTACATGTTCTGACAGATAAGAGCAATTTTTTTTTTTTCCTCCTAATTGCTGGGCTTGCCTTCTGATTGCTAGAGTGTGAAAGGACTGTGCTAAAAGCAAACTTTTGCATCATATCACAGATTGCTGTATTTAGATTTACTCAGATCTACGATGTTCTGTACAAAGTATTTTGAAAATAAAAATTTTCTGGGTTAGAATTTTTGCCTCTTAACTGTTTTTAAAAAGCCCATTAGAGCTGTGCTTAGGTTTTACCACCTTTCAGGTAAACTTTTGTTGTGAAGTAGAGGAGTCGGTTGCTCCCATCATACCTGGGGAAGCAGTGGGACTAGGACATGTTTCTCTCAGCCCTGTGTCCCTGAACCAATTCATGCTGGTTGGATTGCATTGTTTGGTACCTGATGACTAACTTGTGATGGTAGAACTATATAGGCACTGCGTTCAAGCCAAATACAGGCCTTAAGCACGTGTGCTATGTGCTTACCCTTCTGCTTTTTTTCCTACATTCTTTTTAAACTAGATGCCTACATCCTGAGCTGAGGAGGATATTATCGTTTTGGACACAAGTCAAAGTCAGGTGCTTGCCACTATATATGTGTGTGTATATATATATTTATTTCCAAACAAACTTAAGTAACTTCTCTCAGGAGCTCTGTGCTGAAGCAGAGAATTACCTGGGGGGCCTTGATTGCAGGCCGACAGTGCTGAAGACTGTTTTTGATACTTATGCTGCTTGCTTTTGCGTCAGTGTAGCTGGGCCTAGTGAGAGGAGTCACGTGAGACTGGCAGAAGACTACACAAAGCTGGCCTGTAGTGAGAGAGGAAACAGGAAAGAAGCGATCAAGCAGTGACAGCTGTCCCCAGATACTCTACTGGTAAAATCCTCATGTTACTCTCACCTAAAAGCTTTGTTTAGATACATTATCTTTCATCACGCTGCTGGTGATGTGAGAGTAAATTTGTATGTAATTGTGTAGTATGTTTATGTGATGGTTTTGAGGTGTCTCAATACACCTTTTTCCCCAAGCTTCTGTACCACAGCTACTTAAGTAGTGTTGATACTAACTTCACAAATAGTTAAAGAGCTCATGATTTATACCTGCAGCAAATGGACAGCAATTTAAGAAACTTCATGAGGAAAAGATCCTGTCAGCTTTAGAAACAAAGATGCATGGCAACAGAGTATCACTGTTAAAGGAAGAACAGAAGAACTAAGCTCATGTGTAAGGTAGAATGACTTAATTTATTGAAAAAGGCTGTATGAGTTGATATTCCCACACTATTCTTAGCTTTAGGGCCAGATGATCTTGTGCCTAGGTCTGGTATAACTTCTAATTTTTTTTAACCTGGTGTAATCATTTATAAGTGCTAGAAATAGAATACTGAAAAGATTGATAGGCAAATTGCACTTTTGAATTCCTTGAACCTTTATTCCCTGTGATGGCAGGTGGCTATGTAATAGTCTGAGAACTGACCATGCTTGAATGGCACTAGCTGCCTTTTTTTTTTTTGAAGTTAAATATGTAAATAAAACCCCAAGCTTGCTTACGAGTAAACTTTTCATTACAATGATACAGTATCTACTGATGGAATTGGCTAAAACCTCCTTACTATCAGAAGATTCTCTTAGATTAGTATATATTAATATACATTATTTGCTTCTTCCTTGTCTTGCTTGTGAGTTGTTGAAGCATTAGACCTCTTCAAATCTCGAGAGAAGGATTTTTGTCTTCCATACCTATTAAGCAAACTTTTTCATTAACTGTAAGTTACAAAAATAGCATTGAATTGTTGCTTTACAGGCTGATGAAGTAGCATATGCTACATTCCAGAGCGACACACTTGGCCACTTAACCAGTTACATTAGTGTAGGGAGCTGCAACGGAAATTTTAAAAATAGGCATCAGCTTTGGAAAATAGCCCTTCTTGCTTCTTAGCCTCATGGGCTAATATACTTTAATTTTGTCTGCCAGAAACCTAATAACACGTTTTGAAGAGAACAGCAAGGAGATAGTAACAAAGCATCATCGTCATTTGCTTAGGTAGCCTAACGGAATCAAAAAGGGCAAAATGGTTGCATCTAGTCAAAGAGTGGCTTTCAGCGTTCCAGGGTGAGGGAACATAGCTGATGTTGAAACCTATCTGTAATGCACAACGTGCATCTGAAACATTTGGCAAGAGAGTCACCCGCTGACCTCTGCTGGCATAAACCAGTTTGTTCTCTTACGGCTTTTTGCTACTGCGGTTCTTGCACGGCTAATGGCATAAGCTAGTGTGGGGATTTTGGAAATGCTGCCTGCTGTTCTTTCATGTTCTTGGCCTCACAACTAAAAGCGAGTAAAAAGGGCTTTCTCTGTCAAGTACAGGCTGGCTGGTCTTTGGGGCTAAATGCCAGCACTCAGGTAATGCTGGGCTGTGTCATAGATGTGGGCTCCAAACGTTAAGAGAGGACAGCATCACGCTTTCATGCTTGGGTCTCTCACTCCTTCCAACTAATAAGCCTGGGGCTCCTAGATGGGTGTAAAAAACAACAACAAAATAAAAAGCAAACAAAAACCCCAAACTCTTTAGGGTGGAGGTGGCAAACGGGAGGGGGAATTCTATGTTTTGACCCCAAAACACAACGATCAGTGCTAGTGGTAGGAGGCCTGAAACTGGGAAGTGAGGAGGGAATTGTGAATCCAATTGTGACCGATATTTATAAGAAGTTGTGGATATTGAATTTGTATGAAAACATGTCTAGAGCATAGATCTTGTTTAATATAACTGTAGCTCTACTTGCAGCTGTTCAGTACAGGCTTTCTTCCAGCTAGAATTGATTGAGCTCTGGTTGCAAGGATGGCAGAGTTCTGTTACGTGAAAAAAATAAACCAAAAGTCATGGTATTGTCAGGGTAGGGTAAGAAGGCACCTGTCTCTTTTATTAGTAGTACTTTAGTAGTATTTGTGCTGATCACTAGAAAACTAGAAAAAAAAAATCAGTTGAACTGTAGATCCTACTGCAATGAGCTGTACTCATGTATAGTCTTTCTCCAGGAGTATGTCTGCAGTAAAACTTACCTACTCCTGAAAATGGAAACAAAACATTCCTGAAATTGTAGATTTGTGTTTGGGCTTAAGTTAGCTTTATATCCTTACCTGTTAATATTGCAGGCAGGGAGAATGAAATTGTGTGCTAGGTTGTGTCAAGAGGTGTAAGTAACAGAAGCCTATAGCAAGCATCCTCATTTTCTTTTAATC